GCACGCAATTCCGAGGTTCGAGCAGCGCACGTAGAATAGAAGCGCAATCGGCAGCAACGTTACTTTTCATTGAAGTCGAAAAGTTACGTACATTATGCCGCGGTTCGGTCAGCTCCCCTTTATGGTTGTGAGGCTTCGAATAGAAGACATCCACTGTCTAGAGATTTTGGGCAATCGATACATGCGTAGTTTGACGCAGGTGGGACGGTGAGAGTGGGTTTGCAACCTAGAGGGAAGTCGTCATACAGATGAGAGTTCATCCGGGATAAATTAACTATTAAATGTAATTCAACATCTAACCGTACAATATCACAGCGCTTATGAACTAGCACACAGATCGGACGGGTACCTAAAATCCTCCAGTCGGGGAGACCCCGTATTATTTGGTCGGTTGGAAACAGTGAAGAACATTGTACTGTTTGACATCACTGAGTGTTGTACAAAAGCATAAATGAGTTGAATTATTTACTTAGTTTTCAAGTTCGGAGTTCGTTTCCGAAAATACGATAAAAAATTAGTCCAAAACCAACTTTGTTTTCCATGAACCTGACAGCGCTGGTTATGATGAATTGTAGCTAAACTTCATATTCCTTGTCGCGGAAATGCGCTGTGAAACCGTTTCTAAGATTTAGGTACGTTTTAAAAGTAATTTTAAGACTGACTGTGTCCAATTCGAAAGTGGCGTTTCTTCCTCCTAACCGAAGTCGGCAATCCGTGTACTCCACAGAAAGAGAAACTTTGTGTGTGCTTTTTTTGTTTGTTTCTGCATTTATGTGCCTGTGTGCGCGCGCTTGGGACACAGAAATTACTCTCGTGTGGATGTCCATTTTTCAGTTCAACCAAAACGGACATGTACACTGATCTTGCTAGCTATCTAGCGCCTCTACGATCACGGTCACGGTCGATCAGGCATGATTGGGTGTATGTGTTCGTTGTGCTCAGATCAGGCCATCATCGCTACAGCAGTTGGAGCGTGCACCTACGCAAAACATTACCAGGTCAGCGACCGTGGCGTACGAATTATGCCGGAGTGTTGGGGTGCACTGTCCGTGTGCAAAACTTCGAGCATATCTGTGGATGATTCTATTGGTTTTCGAGTTAGAAAAAAAAGAAACACTGTTCGCACAAATTTAGTATTTTTGTTACGATGAATTTCTTCACCACACTAGTGTTTCTCACAGCGTTTATTGCTATTGAATGCAGCCAATCAATCGTTAATTCAGGTGTCACCACCAATACCGTGAGGTCTCTAAGGTTATTTCTATGGATACTCAGTTCGGTCCATTTCGGTTTGTCCGTCACGACGAGACTGCACCTTGACGTGGTGTGATGGCTTGTGCACCTCTGTGAATCAACGGGCTACACCGGATGGCTTTCTCAAGCCAGGAGATCTTATCATGCCTGGAAGGTTAATGGGTAGAGGTCAGACGAAGTTCAGTATCCTGGTTCTCCAGGTTGGGGATTCGACTGAAATTTGCATTTCAGTCGGTGACAAACGGTTGGAGAGTCATCCATTCAAGTAAATGGGCCTCCATTTCGCCACACCCGAGGCCTTGCGGTTAGGTTCTTGTTAGAACTGAAAGCTTTGGACGAGAACCCTAATCGTTCTCCTGCTTAGTGGCTGAACACCCTAGCAGCACCCGTCCATCAAACCCCGATGCATACCAAACGAAAATAATTCCATACGTCATCGGTCGTCGCGCAGGATAATCAGGACCGTACAGCCCATTGCATCGAGCGGGGTGGGCAGTGATAAGTGGGCTACTGCTCACATATCCCAACCTTTGTTTAACTCTTTGTCTTTCGTTCCCAACCCTTTCCCTTTAACGCTTCTTCAGACCTGTAGTAGTCCCTCAAGAAACTTGGATGTCGCTCGCCAAAGGTCGTTGCCAAATAGCACTGTAAGTAATGTATCACGAAACGAATTGCAGATTCTAAAGCCTCATTAATCACTTAGTCTGGGGGCCTTCAACGTGAGGACCCTGATACAGGTAAGTCAACCTTAGGAATCGATATTTGCTGTGTGTCGGAGACTCTTATCCAAGATCCTACTACTCTAAGCCACTTGAGCTTGCCAGATTTGCTTTCGAGATATGTTCTTTTCACATCAGGCGACGATGAAGCTCGTTTGATAGGCCAGTGCGGGGTAGGTTTTGTACTCAGCAACAGAGCGAAGTCCTTTCTTGTCGATTGGATCCCCGTCAACAGTCGTTTATGTGCAGTGCATCTCCAGGCTTCAATCAGCGGCCGGAAGGGAAGCAACACCAAAAGGTGTTTGTTCGTCGTATCAGCATATGCACCGACCAATGGCAGTTCTGATACCCAAAAGGACGCTTTTTACGATGAACTCACCGATCTCATTCGGATGAGCCGAAGCGCCGGCATAGTTGCACTTGCAGGTGAATTCAACGCGCAAGTTGGAAAACTGAGCGCATCAGAAGCTTGCCTAGGCGGTAGTTGTGCTCTGCCCAGCCAACGAACAAATAGCGGCGATCGACTTCTTCAGTTCTGCGCAGACCATCATCTGTTCCTATCCGGCACCAACTTCCGACACAGCGCTCGACGGACGGCAAGGTATCGATCCAGTTTAACTGGTACGCTAACTCAAATCGACCACATCGCAGTAAGTTACCGTTGGCGTGGGTCAGTGCAAAAACGGCGGGTCCCATTGGACCCCCTGCGCTGAGTCTAACCACGCATTAGTTCTGATGCAGATCACTCTCAGACTGACTGGTCGGTGACAAAACCAGCAAACTAGGATAACTCATTATCGACTATCTGCTCCAACCGTTCGCGCACGCCATGAATCAGAGCTAGTGCGTAAGCTAAGTGCGCTTCAGCGTACTGATATACAGGGTGACTGCTTCATCGTACTGGAGCGTCTCGTCCCTCGCGTCCCTCTGACCCCTGACGCGATCTGATTGGATCATATTCCGCGAGCTGCGACGCCAAAAATCTCTCACCCCTAACGAGACCGTCTGACTACCGGCTTGTACTTTTGTAATGCTCTTGTAGTTAAGTTCAGTCCATTCGAGTGTTGATGACACTCCTGTCACACAGTCGAAATTCACTGGGCCTGTTTGAGACTCTCGGCTGTAAGAAAGGTGCGGCTTCTCGCTCCGGTTAGCTGAGCAAGCACCAGGTCCCTTGCGGCTGAACCATTCGATCGACCGATAAATCAACCCGATCGGTCGTGCGATTTTCGGGTCGGCGCAGGAGGATGAGAGATTTTAGGCGTTGCAGCTCGCGGAATATGATCCAATCAGATCGC